GGCCGGGCCGCCGCGGAGATGGCGGCGTCCCCCGGGCAGCGTCCTCCGGTGTCTCCGCCGGGCCCGGCCGCCTGGGTTGCCCTGCGGGGCGGGCGAGCTGCGGCGCCGCCGGTGCGCGGCCCTCGCTGGAGGCCCCCGAGGAGCTTTCCCCGGGGAAAGGAGTGTTTCTGAACAGTGTCTGCCTTGCCCTTGTGCATAAGGCCACTTATTTTTCACTCCTTAATTAGCTACTTGCACCGTTGAAATTACTTAAGTCAGTTTAAAAATACCGAAAATAAGGGCTTTATACGTTATATATGTATATATGTTTTCCAAGTCTGTTTTTGTTTGTGCGTTGACTCCCCATGGGAGGAACAGAGCAGTGCGCTGGGGGAGGATCAGCCTTTTCACTTACAGAGCAGGAGGACGGCTTTCTCCACAGCGTCGGGCGCGAGATGTCGCACTGAATTATGGAGCTCTTGCTCTGAATTATGGAGCTCTTGCTCGCAGTGTTTGCAGCTCCGTGTGCTTCGTGTCAGCTGATAAACAGGATAAGAGTGTCCTGGAGAAGGTGGCGAGTAGGGATAGTCTGCAGTCCCCAGAGCAATTCSTGTATCCCAGGAATCAGTCGAGTCCCAGAGGTCATGGTAAAAATGAATTGCTTCCCTGGATGCTGCGTCTAGGYGATCTGGGAGTGGAGAGCAAGGAGGAAAAGGTTTTATACTGCATAATATGCATCACTGTTTGGATTTGGTTTTTATTTATTTTTAATTCAATCTAATGCTTCCCAGAAAGACTGCTCATGTGACAAAGATGTCACATGAATCACAGACTGGTTGAGGTTGGAAGGGACCTCCAGAGATCATCTAGTCCAACCCCCCTGCTCCAGCAGGGACACCCAGAGCACGGGGCACAGGGCGGCATCCAGGAGGGTTGGGAAGATCTCCACGGAAGGAGACTCCACAGCCTCCCKGGGCAGCCTCTGTCAGTTTGTGGTGTTTATATGGCAGGTGAAATGGTGTGATTGGGCTGAGGAAATTGCACTSTTTTCCTGTAGAAGAGCAGTGGTGATAGTTGCCTGGTAGTTAGGCTTGGATTAGGCTGTGCCTCTGTTTTTGCTAATTTGATGCTGATCTAGTTGAAATCCCACTGATTTTTATAAGAAAATGAAAGCAAAGCTGTAAAGGGGGATTTTTTTTAATTGAGTTATATTTATTCTACTCTTAAGAACTCTGAGGACTTATTTAGGTAAAATGTAAAAACTCATATAAATGTGAAACAAAATGTCAGTTAGTGATAATATCATATAATGATTCTAGTGATGCCTATCAGTGTGTATCTCTTTTGGCAGGACAGAGAGTCCCCCAGAGACTAGTCAAACTCAGCTTGCATATGGCTCAGTGGTTTGTTGGCATTTCGGGCACATAACCTTCTGATTTGTGTTATTAACCCTATTGTTATTATTCTGTTGCATAAAAACTGCCGAAGTGTGTAAATGCTTACAAGGAAAGGACCTCAGAAGTGATGGTAGATTCTGTAAACTCTTTAAGGCATATGTGATTTGAAATAATAAATTGGGAAATTATTCATGAAATTTCTAATGAGAATCCATATTCAAGACATTAAGCTATTGCAAAAAAAAAAAAAAAAAGGCACCAGTTTGAAGCTAAGGATTTTGCCTGAATGATTGAGGTGATTTAAGAGATGCGATCTCCTGATGCTACCGAAGACCCCTTAATATTCTCCATTTGACTTGGTTTAAATCATTAGCAATGACAAGACGCTTGATGGTTTACGGTTAGACTAGAAATGAAGCTACTTCTAAAAGCAGTGTGGAGCAGCTGTGCAAATTCTTGTCCATGATTTTACACTATCTACTTTATTTTGTAGGTTAGGCAAATCCGACACGTGCACAGAACAGCTGTGCGCAATGCCAGTGGGTCCTTGTTTGTGGTAAGTAATTTTTCATGTACTCTCTACCATACTGAAAAGAGGATGTTTAGCAAGATTTGAATATGCTTTTTTTTTTAATCCATGTGAAGTAGTTCAGTAGAATGATTTATAATTGATTATAAAATTAATTATTATAATGGTTTATAATGGTTTATAATTATATCATGCAGCATTTGCGTGGATGTATTTGCTGATAAGTTTTTGTTTAAACTTCTTGCATTATAAAACTGATGTGTTTCCTTTTTTTTTTAATTTATTAGTTTAATTTGTAACTGAAGCTTGTTAAACGTGTAATTTTTGAAAGACAAAAATGGATCTATCTTTTCCTAGAAACAATTCATGGAGARTAAGTTGGGAAACTTGTTTAATTATACAAACTGAGTTTAACTGTAACTTCCTAGGCAGGCCAAACTTCTTGACTTCTAAAATTTGCCAAAAAATGTACCCTTCATTCTTTCTCTTTTACACCCTCCCCCCCCCCCCCCCCCCCCCCCCCCAAAAAAAAAAAAATCAAGTGGAAATCAGCATTTTATTATAGAAGTGACCATTTTGTTGGATTGCTGTTGTTCGCTGAGCTTTTTTGGACAGTGTTTGTTTGTTTTTTATTTTTCCCCTTCTCTGCAGCAGTTTCTACAGCTTTTCTTATAATTGGATTACAGTACATGCTTCACACACTTTTCCAGAAACCTGAGCAGGCATTGGTGATTTATGGAGTGAGAGTTAGTACCGAAGGAATAGAGGAAACATGACAAGTTAGGAAACCTCAAGAAAAGTCTGAGGTTGGTGAAAGCATGGATAAGGTGGTTTTGGCACTGTAATAGATGTCTGGCATAGGAAGCTGTATAGATTTATAAATTCTCCAGGCATTTTCTATGTTTATGGTACTCTTTAAATGATTTACTGGAGGGAGAAGTATGAAAAGAATAGGAGGTAGAAGAGCTGGRTGTTTTAGCTATATGTTATTGGCTSTTCTTGTTTAATAGCATATTTTATTCCTTCTATTCTATAAAACTTCTGCTAGAACAGGATTAAAACATGTTTTTTTTTTAAATGCAAACATTTCTTCTTCTGTAAAGTAAAAGCCTGTGGGAAGAAGGTTGCTGGATGCCACTGTGTATGCATGTAATCATTTGCCCTAACTGCCACTAAAAGGCTTTGAAGTGATTTTTTCAGGTGTTAATTAACACTGCAAATAGAAAGAGGAACTATTTTTTGCTGAGTTAAACTATTATTTAATCAATACTAGGTGTTTGTATGCAGTCAGAAGATGGGTTTATCTTTGCTTTACACATTTATTCTTCAGAGCTGTAAAGCGTTCTCTCTGTTTGCCAGAATATCACTAGCATATAGCTGCTTGTCTTAATTTCTAAATTGTTGCAGRTTGCTAAAACCTGCTTGCAGAGCAGTAGAGGGGTTACTGTGGAGTAACTTGCACTTCCTGTTGCGGTGGGTCTCTTCATGTCAGTTCACACAAGTGTTTTGGCTTTAATTTGCAAAGCAGAGCACGTTGTGGGATGCCTTTTGTTGTGCTTTTCATATAGGAAACCTGTGTGTGTGGAAGGGAAATTCATACAGCATATTTGCTTTGTAAGAGCAGAGGATGTGCTCATGATGAGGGATCTGTTATCTTAAAGATAGCTATTTAAGGGTGGTATTATTTTGCAAACTCATGTATCCCTTTGCAAATTTTTGTCATTTTCTCATAAATTAGCAGAAGCATGCAAATGAGAATTTCTATCTACTGCAACTACSTCTTTCAGAAGTGAAAAACAGCAAATGTTTCCTGCAAGGAAATGGACAGGTGTCATCACAGTATGATAGTCTCTATGGAAGTATATCAGGCCTAAAAATTAGGTAGTTATGACTGTTGTCAGTAACCTAAAAAAGGAGTTTTTTCAGATTTACCATGTTTTTGATGGCTAGAAGACTTCTAATTTCAAAAATTCTATTTACAACAGCTGCCTTTTTTTCTTTAGATGTGCCTTTTCTGTCTTTGACTTTTAACTGTCCTTTTTGATAACTAAAATTAAACTCTCCTACCCAGTTACTTCATGGTCTTAAATATGGACTGAGTTTCATTGGTATATCAGTTGCACATGTGTGGACTATGGATATAGAGCTGCTCAGTACCAAAAGTTTGAGAATTGTTATATTATAATTTTAATTGCTTGTGAAAATGGTTAGAACACTACTTGGATTTGATAACACTTTGATAAGTATCAAATCTAAGTGGATTTGATAACATTTCCAGTGTTCCTGTTTTATATAGCTCTACTATTGCAGAGGCAGTGAAGAAGTACTTCTTCCCCCCCACCCACCATGGAGGATAGAGCAGTGTATTTCAGTGTATTTGTCTTCAGCACTGATTTCATGTGGGATCTTAAAAGTTTGATGTCTTGGGTATCTTTTTACCTGCAGGCCAAAAAGTTCTTTTTTTTTTTTTTTTTTTTTTTTTTCCTCCTGTTTTTAAGACTGTTATTTATCACAAGGCATAGCTCAAGTTTCAGTTTTGTTTTTTTGTGGTGAACCAGCTTGTTTGCAGTTAGGTGAAACCTAACTTCTTCAGCTTATTCTACTAAAATTCTTCATTTCTCTTTCCTCCTTTGTTTCTAGAGGGACAGATGAATTTTATTATGGATCACAGAAAAAGAGTAATAAAGCAGCACAGTTTGTTGTAGCAAACATAATCCAATATAAACATCCAGCAGCCTTAGTACCTTATGTGGGATAATATCACTAAACATGAGGACACAGTTTTGTGGGTGGGCTCTCTGTGTGGTTCTCACGCAGCTAAGCGTGGTAGGCTGAATCCTGCGATTCAAATGTGATATAGTCAAGCTGTCCTTGAGCTTAAAATACATTATGTGAGACTTCAGGAAGCTGGCAGCACAGAAGAAAGGAATGAGAAAAATATGGCTGGATAGAAACACTTTTCTTAACAGATTGTGGTAACTGTCCAAGCATTATTGTTTTTGAGTATGGGAGTATGCCTTAATATATTCTTTTCAGTGCAGTATTTTTTTTAATCCCGTAGCTAATCAGTTAGGTTGTTGTCCAGAATTTGTAGCCCTAAGGCAGAAATGCCCCCTTATCATACAGGAACAAGTCGACTTATGTAAGTCTCGGATAAATGGTCCATTCCAGATGAGTGGAAGATTATGGAGCAGGTGATTGGCATGTCCCAGACAACTTGGGAGGCCTTGTAAGCGCTCAATTAAAAACTGTCAGATTGCCTTGTGCCCACAGTACAAAATTAGATGGAGCTCACTTAGTAAGCTGAAGAACAGCAGATGTGACAGGTTTTCGGCTAGTGTTCACTTGTGGTGCAGCCTTTTGTGACATTATCTCGAGGCCTTGCTGTTCAAAACTGACTGCGACAGACTGTAGCTGCAGATGATTAAAAAAAAAAAAAAAAAAAACAAACAAACAAACAAAAAAAACTTGTTATCCTGAAATTTCCTGTGTGTGAGAGTATCAGCTTAGAGATGATGTGCTGGAAATAGCAGCTGTTCTGAACAAAGAGGGAGGTTTCAGTGAATCAAACATACTTAGTAAGTACAAGCGTAACTATTAGATATGTATTTAAGGTAAAACAGCAATCTGAAACTAGACATGCAGATKTGAGGAGGAAAAGATAAGTTACGGAAATATTGATCGTTATGATCTGTGCAGCTAACAAATATAGGAAATTTGTAAGGGAAAATAATTGTTACCCAGTATTTCCAGACAGTTTTCCTCTCTGATAGCCTTACGAATCTTTAATTGAAATCAGTAGAAACCACATTTTTATGTGATTCTTTATTTGGAAGGATCAGATTAAAATACTAGTATTGTATTTCTAAAAGGTGGTTTTGTTATAGTGTAGAAACACAAAAAGCAGTAAATTGCTACTTAGTAGTAAGATAGTGTGTTCCAAGTTCCGTCAATTAATGTTCTGTAATTCTGTTAGGGAAAGTCAGTCTTGGGAAATAACCATAGATCAACACATTTTTTAATTAGAATTAAAAACTCTATTTAAACTTAGAATTATGGTAGGGGTAAATGGCTCTTGAATTGGTGGTGGCAGTAGTGCTGTCTGTTCCAGGGTGTGGGCAAGATAAGCAAGAAGTTCTCTCACTAGCCCACCAGAAGAAATTAGAAGTTAAGTATTTGGCCTTTCAGTATAAAGTTCTGAATTTAGGMATCTGCATATAGAGAATGCTTGGAATGCAGTGTTTTAAGTTGTGCACTGGAGATGATCTTTAATGTTATTAAGTCTTTGAGGATCTTGCTATATGAAGATGGTTTGAGATATCTTTAATACTTAGTAAGAGGGGGTGGAAACTGCAAAAGCACCCTAGATTACTTCAGAGAGCAAAGTGGTAGTTGAAGTGGATTTCTTTCCTGTAAACACACAAAGCTTRACTTACTAGCAAGTCTTGGACTGCTTTTAACTTCAAGCCTCAAGGATAGGTAGCATTTTTCTGCAAACTTTCCACTTGATTTGAAACTTTTTCAATTCAAAGGAATCATCTTTAAAATTGACAAAATAATTGTCATTGTTTTCAGTAGCTTTCAATGAGGTATTAGGGTTAAAAACAAGTAAATTTCAAATTGGTAGTATATATTTTGGAAATATATCTTTTATTCAAGAAATTTAACTATGTAATAGGAAATATATTTTACAACAGTAAATCTGTCCTGAATGATTTCCTGAATACTTATTTTCATACATCTTTCTCTTTTTTTAAGCACAGAGACAGTCCTGAAAACAATCCAGATACTCCCTTTGAGTTTACACCTGAAAACCAGAAGGTATGCAGACAAATATTTGCATATTTTTGCATGTTTTTTTCTTTGTCTTTAGATCAGTATTGAAACTTTTTTTATTTTTTTTCCTCCTCTTTCCCTTTAAAAAGCGAATAGAAGCAATCATAAACAACTACCCAGAAGGGCACAAATCTGGGGCTGTGATGGCAATACTAGATCTGGCCCAAAGACAACATGGATGGTTGCCCATATCGGCTATGAACAAGGTACTCTGTCCTCTTTCCCAATATAATTTTACCATTTTCTTGAAATCTAATTCTTAATATTAGGATATTAGCATGTTTTATGAAAGTATGCTACTGCAGGAACTTATATGTGGTACCGAATTTGCAGATTCCCCTGTGAGCCTACCTTAAACAGTGTAGGGAGAGAGGAACTGATGCAGAAACCCTTAGCTTAGTCACTTTACATAGTGGGAGCCCACTGCTAGAAACTGCTGGCACAACAAAACCAGAATTGCCTAATCCTTGTTTAGATAAACTCTTTTCCTATCAGAATCAGCCTGGCAATAGAAATACAATTTGGAAAGGTTTTGCTCACCGATGAGTTTGGGGAGGATTTAAAAACAGATGATGACAGAGTTCTTTCTCCTTTCTTGTAGATTAGTGGCACTACACGTTGCCACCACTGTCAGGAACGTAGTTATCTCCATGTTTGCACGGGCTGTGACTTTTGCAAACTATGCAGTGGTACAGTGCAAGTAACAGAGGTCTCTTAACACCCCAGAGCCTGTAAGACTATTGTCTTATTAGATTATATATTAAAATGTGACTGAATAAAAAAACAGTGCTACAATGGTAGGTTACATGGTGATAATTGAAAAATTAGAAATACAAAATTTAATATCTTCATGTAAATAAATCTGTTATATTGTGTTGCTCGTGTATCACCAGCTTTTAAGATTAAACTAAAAGCATTTTCACATTATGTGCCAAGTATAGATTGTGCATATTAATTACAGTGAGCATTAGTAAATAGTTATATGCCTGTTTAGAAAACAAACAAATTGTATGCTACAGTTTCTAAAATGTAGGCTAAAGTCTCAAGTTGCTATTAATAGTGAATGGGAAGAGTCTGCTCTTATGTTGGCTTTGCCTAAGGTTTGGAATTGGTTATATGTTTTTAGGCAAATTTTTAAGCAAATGATTTTGAGCAAAGCTGTGCAGATATAAATACTTCGCATGGTTTGCTATTTGCCTGCTATAGGTACTGGAACATAAAGCAATTAGGCTTTTGAAAATAAATGTAATTCTCAACCAGAGCAGTTTGCCAGGGTTCCAGCTTAATGAGGGAGGATATTTATACCAGACCTGTCTGCATGGATTCTGCTTCTCTCCGTATTTGTTACCCGTGACACCACTGCACAAATGTAGGGGTGCTGTAGGGCTCCTACATGACCGAGTGTGGTGAGCGCGGTGCCAGCGTGAGGTTCTCCYGTTACCAGAAGGCTTCAGCAAACTCCTACAAGCAGCTGCACTGCAGAACACAAGTGCAGTGTGAGCTGGAGCTCAAAGGGAAGGCTGGAACCAGCCCAACTCTGTGGTCCCACTTGGGGTTATGGTGCTAGGTGCTGGAGGAGGACTGGCTGAACAACTAACTGTGCAAATCTTTGCTTTGGTGGAGTTTGTGTCAGGCAGGATTGGCTCCATCCAGTGACTTAGGTGTCTTCTTGGTTCTTTGGTAGTGTTGGGCTTAGATAGCCACCACCTCCCTGCCCTTTATCTGGTGTTATTCTATTCCTGCAGCTAGAGGACAGGAGACTTTACTGAAACTTTTTATGAAATTTCTTTCATGGTGCTCTGTGAGAATTCAACAGTGTCTGTCTTCCCTTGTTGTAGGTTGCTGAAGTTTTAGAAATGCCTCCCATGAGAGTGTATGAAGTAGCAACCTTTTATACGATGTATAATCGCAAACCAGTCGGGAAATACCATATTCAGGTCTGCACTACCACGCCTTGCATGCTGAGAGACTCTGATAGTATTTTAGAAGCCATTCAGAAGAAACTTGGTATGATACAAGTTTGTAATTTGCTTTTTCTAAATGTGTTTTTTTCCTGATTTAATAACACATTATTTCATAATTGAAGTAAAAGTTTTCATATGGTAGGGACAATGGAAAAAATATTTAGACTGAAAGCATTGTAGTGTAAGCACTGCACACTTCCAAATTTGAAAATGCAGAATACCAAAGTGGAAAAAAAGGCAGGATACTAGAAGAGAAAAGGTCATTGCTTTGGAGTGCCCGTAATGGTTTTATTGGCAATTTGCCAGGAATTGAATCATTCCTACCAATGTTTGCAAATGAGTCTTGGACTGAGCAGGAACCCCCATTCCAKGTGTAGAAGAGGATTTGTGAATGCTGCAGGACTTTTTATATTCAAAATAAAGAATGTTAGGGTACTATATGAAGATTATAGATTTTTATTTTTATTAAGGTAATATGAACATAACTTTCCCCATGAGGATGATAAGTTATTTCAGACTCCTACATCATACGAGGTGTAGAGATAATTAATGGGCTTTGTTGGTTTTAGGGTGTTTGTAGGGAAGAGGGTGGGAGGGAGTTATGTGGAAAAAGAGGCAAACTTATCAGCAACTAACAACTCTTTTATGAAATAAGCTACATAGACATTTTGTAAGAACCACCATTGTAAGATCACAAGCCATTCTTCTGCACCTCTTATCTTTCATGTATTCAATTGTCTGGGGAAAAAAAAGCATTTCTTTTGGATTTTTTTTCATGGTCTATGCCTGTTCAAAAATGGCTTAACTTTTTAATAAAACTATTAGTTCAGGAAAACAAAGGAAAAGCAACAGTTTTCTGTAAGTAAGGATATTTATATAGTTCTTACTGAGGCATGGACCTTACTTAGATGGGGAAAGAGAACTCAAAAACCTAGTAGCTATGGAGGAAAATTGCTTTTCAGCTTATTTGCTTTCATGAATTGGCTGATAGTTTTCATGCAAAGTGGCTTTTGCAATGTGCTGCCTCTATAGCATAACAAATAACTACAGTTTCGGTGCAATAATAACAATGAGAAAACACCATATTCTCACAGTCTACTGCTAAGTTTGTCTGATCTTATATTAGTACTGTGTTTGAGCAGATGTGACTTTTGGTAAATACTTCATAGTTTTTGTGTTTAAATAGTACCATGTGAACAATATTTTGCCTGTGCTAATAAAATAATCAAAAGGCAAGAAGCTGCTATATTATGGTCTTATTAAAACAGCAGTATTATCAACTGCTTAAATTTCAGTTCTTAATTATTAGGTACGGGTTAATATAATTTAGCTCCAGGTTAGTATAAATTCAGTAGCTAAGTGTCTGCTTTTAATGTTCACTGAAGTAACCAGAAAGGTGTCTATTAAATAGGCCTGCTAGAWGAAAAAAGAACTGCACGAGTTGGTGAGCTGGTAGGACTGTCACAGAGGTGCTCTGGAGCCTCCTTAGAGCTGCCTATTCCCACTGCCTTATCTGAGAGAGCTCAGGCTGGGAACGCCAGTATCGGGGGCAGGGGATGACAGTTTAAGGCTGAGAGACTGTTTCAAGAGGCACAGCCAAAAAGAACACTGCAGTAGTGAGATGTTAGTGCTCTGAATTACACCGGCAAATACTTCTGAAGCTGKATATTTGTAGAGTATATGATGCAGAAAACCTGGGGAAACTTGTAAGATGAAGTGCTTAGGAGATGCCTGTACTGAGAAACAGATTGAAGTACACATACATACATTGTTTTTTACTTTGAATGCATTTTGATACTTATTAATGTTGAGAGATTTGCTATATTGTATTTGAATAGCTGCTGTATATATTCATATGTCCTTTTGAGCATAACTGCATTTTTGATGAGTAGGGCTTCCTTGGCTATTGTGACCTTAATATTCTTGTGCAAGTTGCAAGAGTTTCGTAGCCACTGGCTCCATCTATAATTCATAAAGGAAGGTATGTTCAGAGGGCAAAAAGGCTACAGTTTCAGCCAGGTCACGTTCTCATATGTTATTTGGCTACCCTGCCCTCTGCACATGTCTGTGTCTTTGTTGGTTACGTCATTGAGAAAAAAGCTGCTGAAGCTAAGCACACACACAGAGCTGTTCAGGAAAGAAATTTGAATGTATAATGTGGGAAGTTGTTTCAAAATTTTTAGCCAACAATTTCAGTGCTTAGATCTTGCACAATTTGGGAGTTCAGTACTCAGCGCTGAGCATTATGCATTTCATATCAGTATGTAAAAGCTATATTCTGCCTTTCTCTCTTCCACTGTATTCATTGCTAAAAGTGTTCCTCAACAGAACTGTTTCTCAGAAGTGTCACTTCATGATTACTTTTTAATGAATCATATTTGTAYGACTGTAAGTCTCCACAGTTTATCTCAGTAATTCAGTTTATTAGATTTTTTGTTTAATAGTGTTTTGGACTCATTTAAGGAATTCATACTCTGCAAATTTTTTCAAGGCCTAAATACAGGAAGTGAAAGAACCGTTGAGAACTTAAAATCTTGCTTTGTTAATCATATTTACTAGCCACTGATGAACCTAATATTCTTTGTTGTTTTAGGTATAAAAGTTGGGGAAACAACACCTGATAAGCTCTTCACACTGATAGAAGTGGAATGTTTAGGTGCTTGTGTAAATGCCCCAATGGTACAAATAAATGACAATTATTATGTAAGTATTTCATACTGTTTTAAAAGATTTAACTTCCTTAGTGCATAACCTATACTTAGCAATTTTATGTAAGAAGTATTTGCATTCTTCTAGATTCTGAAGCTTTGGGCATTTCCTTCAAGGGACAGCTTACAACCTAGAGCAGCATCTTGTAGTTTCTTGGCCTCTTAGAACATTTCATCTGCATCATAATGTGCTGACATCTTCTGGTTTCTATAAAAACAGAGTAATTTTTCTCAGTTTTTGTAAGGAGATTGTGAATGGAGATCCTTATGAAGGTACCTTTCTGGCATATCCATATAGTAGAATGAGTAATCTCGCAGGTGGCTTTCAACTGAGAAGGAATGTTACTCTTTGGGAAGATTTTAAAAAGAGGAAAAAAAATCCACATCACAGGCCTTACTCCAATTTCTGTAGCTGTGCATTTTTCCCTTATCCCAGAGAATCAAGTTAAGAAGATGCATCATTTGCTAAAAAGTCAGGTTCAGCTTTGAACCTGATTATTACTTGGTTTTGCCTTTCCACTAACACCAACCCAATTCCCTTAACATTAAATATATTCAGCAATATTCATCAACAGTTCTGCTGTGGGTTTTATTTTATTTTCCTTTTTTAATTCTTCCTGCCACATGTGAAATAACACAGACAGCATTTTTAAGCTTTAAGCCCAAGCAGGCTGTTTTTGTCATTAGGTAACATATGATGGAAAAGAAGAAAAAATCTGGGGCATAAGCTTATATGGATATTGTGGAAAAAGTCCAAAAAAATCAGACATGTRGTGGTATAGAACAAAATGTAATTTTCCATTATGTTTTCTTTTTCCCAGAGGAAAAACTTTGAAATGGTCACATTTGCAAGAACAGTGCAATTAACAGAAGCGCAGTATACTGCAAGTGGGATGTTTAGAGCTAAGATTATAGAATAGTAACATTAATAAGGAATAATTAAAGTTCTAAGACATGTTGCTTGAAGGCATCCTGAATTCATACTGAAAGTCCCCTGGGCGTCCTTGCTCCATGTTTTCATAGATATTCTCTTCTAAAATTTGCCTGAGACGCTTTCTGTTCGGAAGTTAAGAAGTATGGAGCCTGACTACAGAATAGCTCTATACTTTTCTAGTGTAATATTGGAGTATTCAGCTTTTTGTTGTTGTTGTTGTTTGTATTTTGAAATACCAAGCTCACTGTCAGTACGTGCATTATTGTGAGCTTAACATGTTATTGCCATACAGYGTTCCTAAACACATGTAACTGTTGGTTTGTTTTTTAATTTGCTTAACCTTTTAGGTAAATACTCTCTCTCTGGTGCTTCCTTCAGCTGTTTGGCCTGTCTTTTCTATAAATTGTTCCTGTGCAACAATGAAAAATGCACTAGTTGCATCTGAAGCAGACTATTTTTCTTGTGTCTTTTTATTCTAGAATAATAATTACTAAAGGAACCAATTACTGGATTTTTCCCCCTCTGTATTTCATGTAAACACAACATAGTGGTAGAGTTAGAAAATCTTTTAAAATGTAAACATCTGGGTTTTTTCACAGTTGCATTAGATTCTTGAGTTTCTCTGCCATAGCCAGGATTAGCAAAAACTGAGAATAAGAACATAAGAATACTGTATCAAGAGGAAATWAATTCTGCTTTGAAACTAAAACCTTAGTCAACGCAATTATGTCTCTTTCAACTTGTACTTTTTTTTCCAGTACAAAAATTACTTTTGTAGTGAGAACTATAATAGTATATTTGGAAAACCCAGAACCATGAATTGATGAGAAGTCACAGTCTTAGTTTATTGCAAATGCTAACTTGGTGAACTAGGGTGTATATTAAAGATGGGGAATGGCAGTGAGTCTCAGCTAGCATAATGCTGTGTTAAGTAGTTTGAATTGTAGAAATTTCCTGAGGGAAGCAGTGTAGCCTGTAGAAGACATAGGAAGCTACAGAATGGTATTGAGAAACGAAAGCTTTGGCATGGTAAGGAACAGAGAACCAGATTATATACTGAAAAGGAATTCATCTTTTTTTTCCCACCCTTTATCATGGGTTTTACTTAAATTTTGAAAATATTTTWAAATTTTTAGATAAAGGCACTCTAAAACAAATTTATTTTCAAATAGCAGCCTGGCTTGACACCATGTGACTAACTAGGATGCCATCAGACTATGGGAATTCATATATCCATTGGCAAGAGTTTAGCTGTTAAATGTCCTATATAAATTTATGTATTCCTATATATAAAAAAAGTGTATGCTTTATTATACATTAAAAATAAAATGTTTTGTTATCGCAACATCTAATAATTTTTATCCTTTTAAAGAATACTCTGCTTGCTTGTTGCCCCCATTTTTTGGCACCACAGAAGTCATACTGTGTACAACAGCAGGCATATACTGGGTAGGCAGGAATCCAATTCTCTAATATAAGGGGAAGCTGAAAATAAGCTCCTGTAAAAGATGACCAGCTTGAGTATTGTTAATTTTAACACTATTTCTGCAGATGTGTGCAAAATAAATTCTTTTTCTACAATAGTTGATTTTCTTCTTTTTTTTTTTCCTTAAAACAGGAAGATTTGACACCTAAAGATATTGAAGAGATAATTGATGAACTAAAGGCTGGCAGAGTTCCCAAACCTGGTCCAAGGTATGCTATTTTTCTATAATAATAGCTAACTTTTCCTTTGGGAAAAAACTAAATTCTTGTTATAGGAATTTGAGTTAACTGCTTAGAGCTAAAAAGCATTCATTAATTTACTGAACGGCTTGATGTGTGCTCAGTGCCTTTCCGTATCTTCCAAGGCAAGCAAAAACTAGAATAAAGTTAATTCCGTGCTCCTCAGGACTGACTGCAGGGGTAAATGAGGAATTAATTAACAGGTGAATGACATCAAAAGTTTTTGCTTAGACCAATGAACTGTGTAGATTTTTTTATTATTATTTTTGACAGTAATCAGAAAGATCTAGAGTTCATGGAAGGTTTATCTCTGAATTTTCTGTATGTACCTTTGTTCTTTGTCACCCCATATAGATGTAGATATGAATTTTAGAATTAATTACTACCATTTCATTTGGACATCCACTCCATTCCCATTGTTTCTATGATGGTTTTTTTTGAATAGGAAGATGAGCTTGAAACTTACAGTTTTCTTGGAAATACAGTGATGCATCTTAAAGATAATTGATAAAAAGTGCAAATTGGAATTTTGAATTGAGCTGGGATCAAAGACACTTTTGACCTACTTATGAAAGTAACTGATAGCCTTATTATTCATTTGAGTTATCAAATAGCATCTTTGGCACCGTACTTGGGTTTGAAAGCCTCTTGACTGCCAGTAGTATCCCACATTTCTGAAGGATGAATAGGAAGAGAAATAGAAAACAGTGGCCTTGGCTTTAAGACAGATTTGTAATTTCTTTTAAAACCCTGTGGTAAAATGAGATGAATACTCTCAATGAATAATACTGCTGTCATTTTTCAGGAGTGGACGTTTTTCTTGTGAGCCAGCTGGTGGCCTGACTTCGCTGACTGAACCACCCAAAGGACCAGGGTTTGGAGTTCGAGCTGACCTCTAAGAATTTTTTTTTAATATATGATAAACTCTGAAAATAATAAAGCAACTTTAATCTCAGTAAAGTGATTTATGTTTACTGCTTTAAAAAAAAAAAAGCAAGTAACATTAATCATAGTTAGTTCCAGATATATAAAAAGAAGTGGTTCTATAGACTGTAACTCACTCAGAGTTATTTATGAACATCAATAGGTCAAAAGGTGTCAACTCCAGTGACATTTCTCCTTAACCTTTATTACGTAAAGGTTCACCAAATGCACAAGCAAACTGACGATGGATACTCTAACAATTTTATGTTACTTATTAATTGCAATAAAAAGTATGTAATGGGAAACATGCTCCCAGATGTGTTCTGTAAAAATCTGGTAGGTTCAGTAGGAGATGATTSTTCCTGAAGATTATTCTTCCTAATACCATACCATTCAATTGTCAGAAAAGAACTTTAAAAAAAAAGAATGAACAATGTTACTTCTGTACAAATTTATTCAACACAGGCAAAGTGAGCAGTTGGAGTAAGATGCAATTCAACAGAACAGTTTAACACATCATAATTAGAGCATACAGGTTGGCTTCTTTTATACAGGGATCCTTTTTTGATGTTATGTATGAGCTACATCTGAGTACTCATCTAGAAGCAGGAAATGAAAGATAGCCAAACAAACAAAGAAGAATTGCTTATTAATACCAAATACTTACATGCCTGTAATGTCTGGCAAATCATATTTTTCATGTGGAGTTCAACAAAGTGTTTTGGAATGTGGACATCTTAATCAAATGAAACCATTTAAAAAGCCCGTGACTTCTTGCTAGGCTACCTAGAGCATGAGCGAGCAGAAGGCAAGAAGAYATAACACAACTCCAGCCAGCATGGCATTATTTCCTGATGTCTATATCTGTCCAAAACGGTAACTGGTTCCCTGGTTGAGCTGCCCCTATCCTTCACAGGCCTGTCTTCTATACATACAGTCAACAGCATGTTAATTTTGCAAGTTCTTAAAATAAAATTCCTCTTTTCAACCTTTTCATACTGCAGCCTGCAATTTTTCACCCAATTACTAGTTTGAGCTGAGCAATGATTAAGGTCACTTAGTTGCAACTAAGTTGCTGTGCAGAGCTGATAATGCAATGCTTATAAGTCTAAACAGTAATTCTTAAGACAGAACTGTATTTTTACTTACTCTTAAGCCTTGCTGATAGACAGCTGATGCTAGATAAGTGCTCTCCTTTGTAAAGATTCTTTCCTCATTATCTCAGCTGCTTTTTGGACACCCATTAATGTAYAGTGAAATCTTGGAACTCTCTGCTACTATGGGTGATGGACAAGGATCAGAGTGCAGCATCACACCACTGTACAATACCCATAGCCCACAATTTTTAGAGGGTGAATAATGACCATCTATGCTGCAGTACTCTCGGAAGCTTCCTGGGGCAATGCTCATTATTCCACTTAGAGAGTCGGTTATAGTCTTATCTGCTCAATGCTTATCTGCATCACCTTAAGTGATGACCACTGAAATCAGACATTAAAGAATAGGAAACGTGTGACATTAAAGAATAGGAAATGTGTGCGACCCCCTTTGACATATGGGCACAGCCCCCTATGTAGCTGCGTCTGGTGAGCTGTCAGTGTATAAAGTTTGCTGAGTCAAGTGAAAATGAGAGCAGGTGCTTTGCCTAACAACTGATCCATACCACGATTTGTACATTAAAGTTTTGACAGCATGTTTAAAAAGTCTGCCTAAACAATGGCTATTTTAAAACATGCAATGCCAGCCATGCTTATCCATGCTCTGCCACAACGGGGAGGCTTAAAAGAAGTCCATACAATAGCTCACCTTTAAGTATTAGCTGAAATATGAAGAATTGGTAAGAATGAGATTAGAATCCAATTATTTCCTTGTTATTCATGACCATATCTATGACCACTGAATATGGTGAGCAAGATAAACAGTCTGTTTATAAAAAAGGAAAACAACACAGTACATTCACCTTCTAAATGGAAATAGTGCCTTTTATTCCCAACCTGTGCTTTTGAAACTTAAGAATTACTTTCATTATTTTTTAATTTTGAAGTGTTCCACTTCTGACTTGCACAATTAAGGAACTCCTGCTTTCTACCCGTTAGCTGCTGAAAGTAATCTGGAAACAGCAACTGAAACTACAACAAACGGAGGAGCTTTATTTAGCTGCCCCCTTCTCAAATAACGAACCCAGCAGCCCAACCACCTCTCCGCTGCTTACGGAAGCGACCTGGAGAGTATTACTTGCAAGCTGCTATCGGAGCACGCAGTTCGCTAACCCAGAGCGGTGCCCGCCCGCTCCCCGCCCCGCTGGCACGCGAGGAGCCGCCGCGCGTGCGCGCTGCGCCGCCCGTTAAAACTCACTGCGCCATCGCCGCCGGAAAACCCCTCCCCAGGGAGAGCGGGAGCGGCCGCGGCGGYGGGACGGGCGCTGCCGGCCCCGCTGCTCCCGGCTCCACTCCCGGCGTGAGAGAAATCGGCGCCGCCCGTGCCCTGGCCCCGCCGCGCTCTCCGAGCGGCCGCTGCCATTTCCAGAATGTTCCAGCCTCAGCCGCCAAGAGCGGAACGGACGCGSCGGCGCCTGCGCGCTGCTTCCGTCGCCACCTCCTCCCCCTCACCCCGCCCCGGCCGCTCGTGGCGCCGGGCGCGCTCCTGCGCCACCGCAGCGGGCGCCTGCCCGTGCCCCCTCGCGGAGCGGCGGGGCCGCGCGTTCGCTGCCGTTAACCGCCGCTCCCCCAACGGCC